CATACACTGATTTTGTCTAAACTTGAACTCCTTGGGTAGAAACTATACAAGTGTGAATTTATGAACACTTTCGATTAAGTTTGGAACCGCCTGTCAACCTTACGCAGCTGATGAGAAGCCAAATAAGTAAATGATGATACCGTCTTATTCTTCACAAACTTGTTCTTGCTTTATTCAAATTCATAAAAGAGAATAAACCTATGAAGTTATTATTATTGTATTATTGTTCCCTTGGGTTCTTAGCGGAATATAGGGCTTCAACCCCACGTCTCCACTTGCTTCGGTCTTCCTTCTGCTGTACTTTCCACCTGCATCCATGCATCTTAGTCCATACTCTTTCAACTCCTCTTCACACCATCTCCTCCATGTCACCCTTGCATTGACGTCCCACTCGCCGCTTACCTTTCAGCCTGGTTCCACTCGAGCAATGGCATAACGCGCGCGCGATGTCAACCAGCGGCCTCCTCAGCCAAGCCAGTGTCAATACAATTCATCTCCACATTCTCCTGCATATTTGTTGGGCGGCAATTGGTTCTTGTTTCGTTTCTTCCCAACCATAGTTTCTTGTTGGGGATTCTTTCCGGCCCGCCCGGCCATCTGATCTTCAGTATAGATCCAGCGAAGACAGTTATTGGTGGTTGATAAAGGTTTGTAACAGGCTGTTGGAAATATTCTTTGTGGCCCACCCGTCAAGTCTCTGATCCGTATAGAAGAACTGACTGACTTGACGTTTGTATTGAAAATCCGACCGAATTTTGTTGTTGAGGCTGAGTGACGATGATTTTCAGATTGGTTTCAGTTGGTTGATGAATGTGTTTCTCGCCTGCCTTCCCGATTCTCTCTCGATTTGACATCCTCGTCCGTTCCGACTTCCTGTAGTTGAGGCACTGCTCAAAGCTAGATAAGTGAATGAAGTAACCTCTTTCAAATCCCTCCCGTTGATTGTGATTGGTGCTGGCTGTTGCTACTGTTGTTAGTTGGTTGGCTGGTTATTTTCATAACCTCCTTCTTGTCTATGTTCACCCGGAGTCTTATCTTCGCCGGCTGCTTCTCCAACCAGTTTGTCGGTTTTCGCTTGTAAGTCTTTGATTTTGTGTGATATCAAACAAAAATCATCCGCGTGTGAACTTGTGGATCGTAGCAATGTATTCCATTATTTAGCTTCACAACTGTTTGACCTGTTGAACGTCATTCCTTATAACAGTACAAGTAAAAGTCAAAATGAATGACGTTAGAAGCGTTAAAACACGAGAATAAGAGAACATATCCACACACACACACATACACATACGCACAACTTTTAAGAAGAAAAAAATTATTGAAGCGAATCAATGATCATTTCATTCGGAATACAACATTACACTACGGATGACCTTGACATTGAAAAGTCAACACATGTAGAAAGAATGTCTATTGATAAGAACAAGTTTACTAGAACGGTTATTTAATTCATTCAAAATAAGCCCATGTGACTTTCAGAAAATTTATGTTTTTCACGATAAAAAACAATAACAGACAAAATAATCTGTACTTTATCACTGGAATAAACAAAGGATCCAACGAAAAACATTACACATATTAAAATCTGAATGGTGATTTATAAAATATTTACACATTTGAGGAGTGACTACTACTACCGTAATGCCAGAAGACAAGAAAATTTGGTAAGAAGACTGACTTATTAAGGAAAAAACATGTTTATACATTTTTCGCCATATTTAAACTCGGCTAGGTTAGAGGATAATAAATTGTTCTGATTGGTTGACTATTGGCCCAAGGTTAAACAACGGGATGAAAACTTAGTGCAAGTATGAAACTTGGGCACTGTGATGGTAGAGCATAACTCCATTATGGATAAGATTTTATTTTTATAAATCATGCAGTGTTACACTGTAATATTAACTGATGACCACGTTTCGAGCACAAATCATTACTGCTCATAATCATATCAAGTCATTCACACAACTTTTTACTTCATTTATATACATGTGTGGAATTGACTAGATATTTGAATAAAAATCAATATGAGATAATGTACATTCAGAAATAATAACACGAGTGTTATTGATCAATTACAATCACATGGGAAATAAGACGAGTGGTTTTATAGCCATTATAAGTAACTTGTTAGAATGTTGTGATGTGCTTGAATTGAATTGAAATAGACTTTTAAGATTATTTATTATCCTCTTCTGATTTGACTGGGGGTAATAATATCTTCCATATTTCTGGTATTTGCATTGAATCATTTCTGTTGCACGCGCTGGGTGTAGGCTTGATGAACAAGGATTCCGTAATCAATCAATCTCTCCACCTACATAGATTACTTCCTAGAATCTTAACCCTCTCCCACTCTTTTGTGTGGTTGTGTGTTAATGCATGCAGTGCAATTGCTGAGTATTTTTCTAAATTACTTATCTTCTCTCGGTCAACCATCCATACCTTAGCTAAATTCTTATCTTTCGACAATCTGATTACCCCTGATCTACTAGTTTGACCTATGTAGTTGACCTCACTCTCAGTCATTGCAAGGTATTTTGTAAATTATATTTTGTTTAATTAGGTCCACCGGGTCTTTAAGCCTACAGAGCTTGTCTCTGAGTGAGTTTTTAGGTTTGAATGCCACTCTAATTCCTGCTTTATTAAGAACCCTACATAGGGTGGGAGATGGTTAAGATTCTAAGAAGTAATCTATGTAGGTGGAGAGATTGATTGATTACGGAATCCTTGTTCATCGAGCCTACACCCAGCGCGTGCAACAGAAATGATTCAATGCAAATACCAGAAATATGGAAGATATTATTACCCCCAGTCAAATCAGAAGAGGATAATAAATAATCTTAAAAGTCTATTTCAATTCAATTCAAGCACATCACAACATTCTAACAAGTTACTTATAATGGCTATAAAACCACTCGTCTTATTTCCCATGTGATTGTAATTGATCAATAACACTCGTGTTATTATTTCTGAATGCACATTATCTCATATTGATTTTTATTCAAATATCTAGTCAATTCCACACATGTATATAAATGAAGTAAAAAGTTGTGTGAATGACTTGATATGATTATGAGCAGTAATGATTTGTGCTCGAAACGTGGTCATCAGTTAATATTACAGTGTAACACTGCATGATTTATAAAAATAAAATCTTATCCATAATAGAGTTATATACTACCATAGTCCCCAAATATGCATGAGGTGGGACTTTCGCAAATTACTCAGATAAAAAACGTCATTTAAACTCAACAGCTACCTACATCTGAAAAGTAATGGTCAAAGAAGCATTTGCCATGCAGGGAGACACTGAAAACATTGAAATCAGTCTATCATTACTATTTACAATTTAAGTAAAGTACAGAATCTTAAAAGTTAAAATCTTATTAGTCTGCTAATGAGTACAATTTCAGAGGTGTATAATAAAAGAAAAAAGAAGCAATTTTGTAAAGACAGGCAGTTGATATCCCAATGAGAATTCAACAATCATAATATCTAGGTTCATGTAATAGATATATAATACTCTCTTGTTGAAAATATTGTTACAATACTTGGTGGTACCACTGTGTCGACGTATTCCCTGATAATTCATTCAATAATACTATTACGCAAGTGTAAACTACAAACCACACTAGTTTTGCATTTCATACTTAATTCGATTGGACACTCGCTGAGGAGGCCCCTGGGTGAAATCGCGCGCGAACCAGGCCATTGCTCGAGTGAAACCAGGCCGAAAGGTAAGCGGCGAGTGGAACGTCAGTGCAAGGGTGGCATGTAGGAGATGGTGTGAAGAGGAGTTGAAAGAGTATGGACTAAGATGCATGGATGCAGGTGGAAAGTACAGCAGAAGGAAGACTGAAGCAAGTGGAGACGTGGGGTTGAAGCCCTATGTTCCACTAAGAACCCAAGGGAAGAATAATAATAAATAAAGCACCTATGAACCATCACAGTAGTAAGATCAATATTAACTAAAAGTCAATTGTTCTTCCATATTACTATTCCGTTTGCCTCACACTTCTGTTTATCAACTCTCTCTCTCCCTGTCTCTCTTTTGAATCTCTCTTCTCTTTCTTTGTATGCTACTTTGAGTGCGGCAACTCGAACTCTTGCACATCTGTGCAAAGTTCTCCGTTGAAACCAGTTAGTCAAAAGTCAACAAGACAAGAAACAACAAAAACAAACGAGAAGGGTGTGTAACCAAGAATATTCTAAAACAAAAAGAACAGAATAAGTAAGACTGACAGGATTAATGTAGCATACTTTGAAACATACTATCCACAAACAGCTTTTCGCTACTCTTCCATCTGTTATTAATGACCTTATATGTGCGTCGATGGCACAGCGGTTAGGACACTCGCCGACCATGCACATGGTCCGGGGCTTGATCCCCGACCACCGATACACTCCTTTACCTCACTAAGCCAGTATTAAAAAAGCTGGTAAAGAGAAAAGATTGGGCATGAAGCTAGCAACCTCATCCTGTAAAAATAAGCACCACTGCTACAGAAACTTCAAGCCACTAGCTTGAGGCCCTATGTTCCACTGGGAACGTGAAGGAAAAAAATGTGGATGATATTTGTCGATAACTTCAAAATCTGTGAAAACGTCTCTAATCCCACTGAACTTCCTTCATCAAAGGATCCAATAGATGAAAAACATAAAAAGAACGGATATCTCATGCATGTACATTCATGTACAAGCCTACCAGCCGCAAGAGGTTTGTGATACGTAGCCTGTCGAGCACACACACATATCAATGAGTCACAGACACAAGAGCACCAGTTGTGACTTTACAAACTAATCGCCTCATCTATAAACTTTACCTACTAGGTAATTAAAATACACCACAACAACATATAAAATATATCTATTACCTACTACTAGGTTTCCACACGAGATAAAAAGTATGATAAATGCCGAAACATACTACGTACAACTTCTCGTTACAACACACACGCACACACAAGGAAATCAACCTGAAAACTTTGAATACAGCTTACCTGACACTGGAATAATTTTTTCCATACCAGAACAAGCATAATCTGTTGGCTTCAAGACAATGACAACAAAAAATCCCCTGGGGAATTGAGTCGCCTAGATTTTGGTACTTATAGAAATATGCAGAAACTCACTTACATCCGCAGATACTGCACCAAGAGTAGTAACGGTTTGATGTAATCCAGTGTTTCCCACAGTATCAAATAAATCACTAACAGGACACTGAAATCATTTTTTGTTTGCGACAGGTTTACACTTTGTTTAAAAGCAAAAACCTACCTGAAGTTTTTGAATAGACAGTACCATGCATATATCACTTTTGGAAACTACTTTAATTTCCGCTGAATTCTTCTCCGCAGGGTACATATATCTCAAATAGACAGGTTCAGCAGGTGACACCAGCATAGTTTTCTCTACACCTGGTCTACGATCAAAAATTAAATCTAATTAAAAACACTAGGTAATTTTGGCATACTGTAGATCAAAATCATGAAGTAATTCAGCTAGAAACATATACGGCACCTTGTTCGGCGGACTCATAGCGTTAGATAATTCCACTGTGAGTGTTCGAACTTCACCGGGAGGAACTTGAATTGGACAAAGTGTACGACTAACATTCCCATAGGCTGGTCTTTGTATACATGAATTAGATTATAGTATGTAGTGAAACTTACATAGAATTGAGAACCACTGGCACCTGGAATGACATCACATTATGCACTTGTTTGATTACAACTAATATGGGATAATCCAAGTTTGGATTATAATTGACCAAATGTATCCGAATGACAAACTCCTAAGATGAAAACAACATGAAGTTTAAAAGTATATTTTTTCATACGCTACGATTTGAAAGGGCAAACTGATACTCTATCTTTTTATCTTGTGAAACATCGTCATAATAGGGTTCGTCCAATTTGGCTTCATTTGCGATTGATTCAATCTCAATAAATAAACAAGCGATAATGAACTTTATCCCGAGAGGTAAAATATTCATAGCAAATTATCGAAGACATAGGAATTGGATACAGCTGAAATATAAAACAAATATTTATTAGTGCCTTGATTTTAAGAAACACAGAATTAAGCTAGACAATTTTTATACAAACACAGAACACATATGAGCTACACGTTTATCGACGACATAGAGATGTTTCTAAGTGGTAGATTGATATCCTTCTGGAACCGTAGAAACCGACAGATGTGTTTTGTACAGATTTCACCAGAAAATGGTACTCAACACATCACACCAGCAGTTAGTTATAGTGAAAACTCCGTAGAACTTCCCAACAAATATATATATATATAACGTCACATTGATAATTTATAATCCAGATAAGTCATCCCTACTTGACCAATAAACGTGTAAAAAAGACTTCTTAAATGCAATACCTAGGCAAACAACTCCAAGTTATATGTATATGTAGGAGTTAAAATCTCTGCTACCAAAATGTTGAATGAAGCTGTACATTTAGTTCTGTTAGTAATTTCCACTACAAAAAAAAAAGATATTCGAAGAGTAAAATGGATTTTCAAGTTGGCCTACGAAATCAGATCAGTTAGACAGCCAGTGGAAACCAGGGAGTTGGATAGCTGTTTTATCCTAGTTTTCGGCACTTCATCAAGACTCCCCCACAACCTTACTGGGTGCCAACCTAGGTTCGTGATCTAAATTGAGACCAATCAAATCCCTAAAAACCAGTACTTAAAATGAATTTCTATTTTTTGCCAGCTCTCACGAACAGTGAATTATTGATAAATAATGATTGTTATGTTCAAAACAAATTCGTAAAATCTAGCCAACATGGTAGTTAGTTAGATAAAAACAATGAACGCATAAAAAACGCAGTAAAATAAGCTTTTTCTACACATGAAACAACTGGTTTCATATAATAAAACGATGAAGGAAGGACTAAATTGTAGAAATTAGGTATCTTTGTAAAAGTGAATCTGAACTGGACTAACTAGACTTTAATCGAAATTGCAAATTAATCTTCCCAACAGAATATGCTCTGAACCACGACTCAAATGATTCTGATTGGAATTCAAAAACATTTTGACAATATTAGAAGCCAGTGATACACACTACAGCCTCAATATTTAAATGTTCTAAACAGTAACTGACTTTAAGCAAGGTTAAGCTGCAATATCATGACACCGTGCCTAGAGCGAGAGATTACACGTAGATGCTTTCAGTTAAAACATGCTAAAAATGACAGAACTGACTGTCGCACTATGCACAACTGGTAATTATGATGTTAAAGTAAAATTTAATACATGTAACACCGCTACATCTCACAACATCACAGAGATTACATGACACAAGAAACTAGTAAACACAGTGTTTGATTGCATGGATCAAGTAGACAGATTATTCCCAGTTTATTGTTCCAGCCAACTACAGGTGGAATTAACAAACTGAAAATGAACACAAGCAAATTTAATATCCTCCTAAACAGTAAATACCTACTTATTTTGAACAAAACTAATAAAACTAAGGTAGACGAACTTCTTGCCAGAAATGCCAATAATAAGGAAGGCTATATATTTGTAAGTATTGTGTATTACAAGAAACTCTTTAACTGTTCGGGTTATTAGTGATCTTGGTGAAAAAGTATACGTGGGAAGTAGGGCTTTTTAGTTAACAATATACCCAAATCAAATTTGAATCCTGTGGAGGATTTTGAACCTGAGTTCTCTGCTGACATCTACTGAGTAAGCAGTCATACACTTATTTGGTAAAGTAACAGTCAAAATTTACAGAAGTGACCAGTAGGTATAATTGACCTTTAGCACTTTAACAGAAGTGATTTGTGACCCCTTCAGGAATTCATAATGATTCTCTGAAAAACTCTGCTGTTATGTTCGCAACAAATCAATAAACATTCCATAGCAGAAGTGATCTAAATTGTATGTTGCATATTTCCAAGGAATTCTAGAATTAGTTCAACAACCATCTATAACGCCATCTACTGGCAACTCTTTAATGTTTTCGTACATGACACATTTAGACTAAATTGTCCCCAATAAATCCTTATTCGATTAGAAACTATATATTAAAAGCACTGGTAATATAAAACCAACCACATTAAGCAACTGCTAGGAAGTATCCTTATGATTTCAAGATTACTACTAAGTGAGTGAAAATGGATTTCTCTGTGCCTTGTATTATGACTAAAACAATAACAATTACACAATTTGGCATGTAGTGAAATTAGACGAGCAATGATTACATTTATTAGTTTATTAAAGTGTTGTATAAATTTTATCGTTCCAGCAGAAAAGTCACTTCACTTTTCATCTTTAATCTATTGTCATTCACTGCCAGATTAGACCAAAGCAGTGTGACATAGGAAGAACTTCTTCAGTTTCCAAACTAACAACAGCTTCAAGGGCATTGAAAGACTTTTTGAAGCACTAGAGACAACCTTGAAAGCCTACAGTTGAGTGCACGTACTAACACAATTTCGGGTAAACCTATCCTAAATCTGGAAGTGAGACCTAATTAGCCATAAGGCTTTCAAACTATTTGCCGTATGTTATATGCCGTACGCTATATGTTTACCAACCGAGTTTCAGCCTTATTTCAAACTCTCAGGAGCAAGATTCGGCAAAAATCTGTGAACGGATCTAGAAGAAATCTCTGTGATTTGTCATTTCACCAACACATTCGAAATGCCGATTATTTCGAGGAATGAAAATAAACTAAGAAAAACTAGAGCACAGCATCCAATCCAATATTCGATATCGTTTTTACGAGCTAGTATAAACCAATTTGATTTCTCTGTGCTCGCTTCTTGATTGTAAGGTATAGATTCTTGATCCTCGGTGAACTTCTGAGTAGCTTGTCCCGCCACTCGACTGTCGTAGCTTTGGTTGACTCCAAAGGGAGTAGTGCTGGGATTAATTATATGTGGTTTGTAGTATGAGGTATGTTAAGACTATTACTACTGTGATTGGAGTTGATCCTTTCGCCAGTTAGTCCTCCGGTATCGTCGACAAGAGAAAAGAGATAATAATAATAGATATAATTAGTGAAGTTATTCACACTAAGAGACAGAAACGGAAGTAGGAAAGCGTAACAACAGTTAGCTCATTAAGTTTGAAGAATTATATATATATATACATCGGTAATAATTATTATATCAATAAGTTGTCGGGAGAGTAAGACGGGAGAGAATGTAAAGAAGTAAAACGACGAGTTTAATTGTCTACCCCTGAATGGTGTATGCGATTTTAAGGAGATAGGCCATTTGGATGCAGTCCTTGTGTCGCATGGTTGTGCAGCCTTCGCTTGGAGGCGTCCAAAGACGGTGCCATAGCTACGTCTGCCGGTAAAGAATTCCAGGGACGGCAAACCCGCAGTGAAAAGAAGTGGGAGCGCACCCGGGTCCTTGCCCTCTGGTGAGCTATCCTTCTGGGATTTCCACGTGGGAGCCTATACGCACTCAATGGCAAAACACCTTTGTTTGGGTGATTCTAGTCATTTGTTATTTTGTAGGCAGTAATCAAATCCCCCCTAAGCTGACGGTAGCTGAGTGTGAACAGGCCTAATTTCTTTAGCCTTTCATCATATGGTTTGTTTCGGAGACCAACCACTCCTTTTGTTGCCCGTCGTTGGACTCTTTCCATCATGCTTATATAAGCACAGCATTCCCGCTACTAAAAGGTGTTTGTGGCAAATGCATAAACCTCTTCACAAAAATTGAAGATTGACTTGTAAATAAATCCAATAGCTTGATAAACAAACCACATATAGTAAAAATAGAGTATTAACTCACTCTGCTGAATAAAACATCTGCTTGATTGTCAAGGTTAAATTGCACAAAAAATTGCTGCATAAAAACACACAATTGCTCAACTTGGAACATCACTTAGTTTCGGAAGTGCTGCATGCTGCCTCACAAAAATTAAAGAGCGCCACTTAAATATGAATGAGACCTTATCAGCGATTTCGAGAATACAACATTATGGACAATCTCAGACAATTTTATACCGTAAAACTGTGCAACACTTTATCAGTTCCATCGAAAACTGGTACAGAACGAAAAATATATCATTTTTGCACTTAAAGTATGATAGATTTAATAATAAAAATAGTTTTTATTTCTTGCTTTCCAAGTGGAGAACAGGGTCTCAAGCTTCTGACGTTCTACTAGCGCTTTGTATTTACGAAGTAGATTCACGCCTGACCTTCTCTTTCCTCCATGATTACTTATGGCTATTGTACTAGGTGAGGTTCAGGATCCCGTCGGCTGTCGATCCACCATGTGCCTACTGTTTATGACTTTCGAGTGAAACAAAATTCTTTCACGCCACACCTCGCTTTCATTTATTTCTTTGTCATTAGTTTCTGTTACTACTACGACCACCTGTGAGATATAATTTTCTGTTTATAAGATCTTTTTTGTGCCACACGCAGATGCCAGTCCTAAGGGTTTATAAATCTGCTTCACACGACGAACCGGAGTGTAGTGCTACTCGACGTCCGCACCAGAGTTTGTCTGATCCATAGCCATTTCTTCCGCTATATCTGATGCACACCAGGAATCTGGCTGGTTGGTGGTTTTTACAAACCCATCCTACAACTCTTATACTGCCTGTCATGCTCAGACCAAAGGCAGTTCAAAACACCAGAATCGCGGTGCGACGATGGATGCTTAGCTAGCTCGGAATCACGGACTAACGACCGAACGCAAAGCAGCAGATTGAGAAATGGTGTGGATCTAGACTACAAACCTTCTGCTTAAAAAGCCGACCTAAGCAGTGGAGGTCAACACTCGGTGAAGAATTCCTCGGTCAAATAATTTTGAGGAATTATTTGCCACAACATGCTCAATCTGCAGCAGGAAGTCTTCTATACAAACATAAAAACGGGCTAATGCTGCTTTATTATTACTCAGTCGGTATTTCCTCCGAGGCTACACGTTGAACGTGAAAAACTGTGAATTGACAAGTCATCCAGTAATTGTTTTTGGTGGGGTTTCATAAATAAAAAATTGTGCACCGGTTGCTAGTCAGGTTATTAGGACCACTCTACACATAAGACACCCAATGAATTTTCATTGTAGATGCTAGCAAGGCTTTCGACAAAGATCCACGTAAAAAAAAACTACGACCTTCTTAGCCAGATAGTTTCTTTCTTCACAAAACGATAGTATTTAGTCATAACTGACCACTGATCCTCTGCACCGAAGCCTGCATTACTCGATAAACTAAAAAGGAGTATTCCTATTTCTGTCATGCTTCTCTTATTCATAAATAACAACAGGTTCTTTGGTTGAGCAAGGAAAATCATGTTGCCTATCAAGAGCTCCTGAATAGTAAATGGTTTCCGCCACAATTAAATTAGTGTTTAGAGGAAAATTCAACATTAATTGGACATTCCAGGTGTGTCGCTATCTCTCCTGTTGGATCTTAGCCTTGGCCACATATTCTACCGGCTCATTAGCCTAACACACCTAACTTGGTTGCTAGGCTGCTAGTAACACTCCCCAAATATTGAAGGGAGAATATGACTCTCATAGCTGCTCAAGTATGCATTTATCAACGACGGCGCGAAGAGAGAATAGGGACACTATCGCGTTACAATGCAGACTCCAAGCTCTTGTCTGTTGTCCAACTGACCACCTTGTGGTGGAGTTCGCATAGTAAAACACATTGACGCTGACGCTAAAATATCTGAGCATTGTGACACCCTACAGTAGGAGTGAAAAGGGAAAATCAGTCTTCGACCCATATATGAGTAAGAAGCCAATTGCAAATATTGGAAGTGTGGTGTGTGACTATATAATTAGGATGGCTTCCTCTTTCCGACGTGGTTATAGATCTTGTGACAACACATCCAGATCCTCCATGTCGAGGAAACTGTCCCTAAGTTCCTATTGTTACGAAGACGCTCCATACCGATAAATACTATGTACTTTCCTCGACTTTAACTCCAAAACACCAGTATTGTAAGAAGGGAGTCATATTGTTTAGCAGTTAAAGCGGAGAATATTATAAGTCCATAAACAAATGTTTTATGCGAAATTATTATGTACTTTAGTTCGCTTTCGTTCGTCTTCGCCGAACTTGTACAGGATAGAACCACTCGAGCCCTCGAGTTGCCCACCAGTGGCGACCAAGACCAATGAACCAAAGTTCAATGTTCACTTCCATTGACACTCCCCGGCATAAAATGATACTTTTTTTCGTGGCGCCGATAACCTTGAACTGAACTGCCAACGCGGGAACTTGGGCCAACCGGGACAAGGCTAAAATGGAAAAGCAAGACAAAAGAGCCCAACACACAACAAGCATACCACATCACGCCAGTAGGCTCTCCCCGTGTGTGGGATCTTCCTCAGGGATCGGAACTTTCCTTCGCTCTCCATCAACAGTACCACCACTGATCTCGTCCACGGGGTGTCGGTTGCTTCATGTCATTCTGGCACAATCACCTCCTCGGCGCATCAAAACTCATAAAATGACTATAAGACCACTTGATTCGTTCACATGATTAGAAGACTAGAAACGACTTCAGAAGTACTTACAACTACATTACAAGATGATTCGCACAATGCGACAACTATAAAATAAACCAACAATTAAATGAGCCGGAACCCAATCATTCACTTAACACAAACATATGTAAAATTAATATATCAAATGTTGTGGATTCTGCCATGACGAACTACCCTTGAAGAACTGTAGGACTTACAGCAGTGCACCTACATTCATTCTCAGGCTGATGATACAAGTGGAAGTCGTCCTGACACAAACAAAGTTACCTACAGATAGATGAGAGATGATACCAATTCAGTATATACAACATGAACATATGTACAAAATCACACACCAAACACGTTAGGCTGCTTATTGATGCGCTACCCTTCGAAGAATTGTAGGACTTACAGCAGTACGCCTACAACCCTTCTCAGGTTGGCGCCCAAGGTAAGAAAATCGTCGCAGAGTTCATTTGCTGACTTCCTTGTATCATCTATATCCTTAACTCTGAACGGTATCGTGGAATGTAGATGACTAGCAGACATACGATGTATCTGACCGACCAAGCGTAAGCACATAGCAATTTTCACCAAAGATAATGGCATTCAAATAGTAACTTGAAAGGCTTTTATTCGTACAAGTCAGTTTAACAATTACCCTCTCATACACAGTTGGCTTATCTTCACTAAACTGACCATTGACATTCGTCCTTTCAAACGGACTGATGCAGGCATTGTCAAAGCATAAGACTCGTGGGTTCATGGACGTCCCTTTCATTGTGGATGACAGCACCAACGACGACTGAGTGACGCAAGTTGATGTACTTAGCAGTGCATCAGAAGCTGTTGTTGCTCGGCTTTTAGAAGTTTGTTGCAGCGAAGAAAATTTTCTTTTCGACGAAGTCATCATCTAGGCTGTACATTCGTGTATTTATATCAAATGGATGGGAAAGTTCCAGAATAATATCCGGTCAAGGGTCAAATTAATAAAAATTAAAATTGGGAATTAGAATGCCATAATAAACAGGGGGATGGATAAAACAAACAAAGTAGCATTATAATAACTAAGAAGACTGACATTGTGCAATTAGGGGTTAGAAATGTAGAAATAACAAAATAGACAGGATGTTTGGATAAAAACTAATGTGATGAATAATTGTTTATGCAATCAGGGATTAAATATGTAGAAATAGTAAAATGACAAAATAAACACTAAGTTCGGGTATGAAAATATGGTAGTGTAAACAGGGATTAAGAAAAACTTGAAATAACATGAATAAACAGGAAGTTTAGATAAGAAAGGCGATGGGATGGTGATTACTAAAAATTACCTGTTTATGATGGCCATGGCAAGGACAGGGGTTGGACGTATTTCTTTTGTATACAAAGCGTGGGTTTGAGCTTTTGTATAGCTAGCGCCTCGGCTATGCCCAGATGTCTTGATTTTACTCCCTTTGATGGGTTTGATCGAATCTTGTAAATGATTTTGAAGGATTTTTCGAGTGGCGCTGAATGTCCTGAATTCACCAGGTGTTCTGTCACCGAACTATTTACCCGTTTTCGTTCTCCTTTTACTAGCCAGGCTGGATAGTGTTCACGAGCGCGTTTTTCAAGTCGGCGCATGGTACGGCCAACGTACTCAGCTCCACAAGAGCAAGTAAACTGGTATATGCACGTTGAGGTGGCCCAATGCGACAGCTTGTCTTTCGCGTTCTGGCTGAACAGTTTCTTGCAGGAAAACGTCAGTCGTAGGCTAGCGGCGAAGTATGTTTTCCTCAGCGATTTTGAGAGGCGTCTGCGAAGGATTTCTGCTTCAATATCACCTTTGAATTCTAGATTAAGCAGAAGCATTTTCTTTGGGACGGATTGGACTTGTTCAGAAGTCTTCTTAGGTTTGAGATTCTTTTCTATGAACCTGGGCGGGAAACCGTTTTCCATCAGGGTTTTTCGAAGATTACGCAGTTCTTCTTCAACCACTTCCTCGCTGCATATCTTCCGAATCCTCGAGGAAAGAGCGTATATCAGGTTCCTCTTTCTGCTCAGGGGCACGAAGCTTTGAAAGTTGATGAATTGTCCATTCCATGTAGGCTTTTTGTATATGGACCTTTTCAGGGAGTTGTCGGCGTTTCTTGTCAGATGGACGTCGAGGAAGTGGAACATTCCGTCGGATTCAGTCTCAAGTGTGAAGTCGATGTTTGGGTGGGCATTATTGAAAATTTGAAGTAGGTTTTTTAAATCACAGTTCTCATCACAAATAATGAAAGTATCATCGATGTATCTCTTGTAGAGATGGAGGTCGTTGATAGTTGTTGATAAGGCGTTGTTCTCTAAGCTAGCCATAAAGCAGTCGGCTAGAAGGGGTCCTAAGGGAGAACCCATTGCTACTCCATCTACTTGCCTGTATATTTCTTTGTTGAAACTAAAGTATACGTT